CAGCGCCGCGCCTCGAACCCGCGCCCGGGGCCATGCCCGTCATGAAGGGGTTGTTGGCCCCGCAAAACACCTTCCTGGACACGATCGCCACCCGCTTCGACGGCACGCGTGAGTGGGGCTGGGGCTAGGGCTGGGGGGTCACGCCGGCGGTCAAGTCTGCACTCGGGGACCCCAACTTGCGGAGAGCCTGGGTGCGGCGTGAGAGGAGGGGAGGCGCCCGCTGGGGGAGCGCCCGGCGAAGGGAGGCGGGAAAAGGGCTGGGAGCACTGGGGTCCAAGGTTAGGGGGTGTGACTCTGGGGAAGAGCGGCTCTTTGTGCGGCGAGACGGAGGAGGGGCCTTGGGAGGCGCCCACTCCCGGCAGAGCGCCGTCGGAAGCGTATTGGGGGCATCCCAGACCTGGGCGTGGGACGAAGTGACCCTGCGCCCTGGAGTATACTCCCAGACGACTCCAGCCCCCGTCCCCCCAGAAAAAAAGAAAAGAAAAGGTCATTCTTGGGCAAGACCCAGCTTGGATTCAGGTCACGCGAGTCCCAAATCGGAACCCGTGGGGGCGCCTGTGCCTGCGGAGGGTGAGGCTGGCAAGAGGGCGTTCTGTGTGATGGAGGGAATTCCCAGCTCGCCCACCCTCTCTTGGATTCCTGGTTCAGCACCTTGGACAGCCACATCCCTCGTTCCCCTCCTCTTCCCGCACCACTCCCTTTGCCTACCCTGGCGTGGGGAGATCGGCCCCCTGCCCCACTAAGGAACCCTGGAAGAGCTCTGGAGGGTGGGGGAGCGGTACCCGAGGGCGGAAACCGAGCCACCGGGGGCCCTACCCGCCTCCCCACCCTCCGAGCATACACACCTCCCTTGTTTCCATAGCGCCTGTCGCTGGGGCAACAGACCCTGGGATGGAAGGAGCCCAGCACCTCCCGGGTATCCTCAGTGTCCCGTTAGTCCCTCCACCTCCAGACAGTCATCCTTCCCAGCCCCCCAGAACTGGCTGTGTCTCAGGCCCCATCTCTGTCCCTAGACCACCCTTAGGGGCCTTACTGTCCCCTCCCACCCACTGGGTCCAGTTCAGGTTCTCTCGCTGAAGGTTACTACTAAACCACACTTAGAACACTGGGATAGGGCCCTGCCATTCGCTGGAAAAGTGCTAATGGGTTGGGCCTTCCCTGAAAAACGGGATGAGCACCCTGCTCCTCAGGGTCTCCCTCCTTCCATACATAGGAGTTTGGATCATTTCTGCCTTTGGGGTCCCGATCACTTACACTCTAACAGGATGACCGGGTGGTGTCTTACAACTGTGTGAACTGGGGAGGCTCACTGCACCTTCTCCATCGGAGAGGGTCTTGGTTCTGACTCTCTGTGCTGTGCAATGTGCTAGAACTTGGAGAGCCCGGGTGACCCTCGCTGTCAGCCACCCTGGGAGGAAGATGCTGTTCTTAGCTCCCACTTTACAGATTGGGAAGCTGAGGCACCTGACTTCATCAGCTTATGCAAGGTCACAGAAGGGTGGCAGGGGTGGGCGGGCTCTGGGGCCTTGTTCTTGCTCAGAGCCGTGCTGCCGCCTACAGTAAGAGCTCACCAGCTTAAAGGCAGGCGAGGAAACACACGACTTCTTAGGGTGCCTTCTCCAATCCCTCTATCATCCCCACCTGGGTTCTGGGCCACCCTGGGGCCCTTGTTTGTTTCCTCTCTCTCTTACTCTCATTTCAGAAGTGAGGTCCAGGACCCACCCGGGAGCCTGTGACCTCTGACCACAGCTGGGGAAGAGTGCTGCCCACCTGAGAGCTGAGGTCCATGCTTGGCCTTGACCTGACCTTGACTCCTTCTGCCCATAGACAGCAATTTCTTGCTGGCCAACGCTCAGGGCCCACGGGGCTTCCCCATCGTCTACTGCTCTGACGGCTTCTGTGAGCTCACCGGCTACGGCCGCACAGAGGTCATGCAGAAAACCTGCAGCTGCCGTTTCCTCTACGGCCCGGAGACAAGCGAGCCCGCCCTGCAACGGCTGCACAAGGCCCTGGAGGGCCACCAGGAGCACCGGACTGAAATCTGCTTCTATCGCAAGGATGGTGAGGGGTCCAGCCTGCCCTCCAGCCGTGCCCAAACCCCAGAGGCCACTTGGCATGGTGGAAGAAGTCTGGGTGTTCCCCTCACACTGCCACAAGCTGGCTCTGTGACGGGGTGTCCTTGGACCCCTCTAGGCCTCAGTTTCCCATCACTGCTGGCAGTCTCTAGAGTTCCTTCCAGCTCTGAATCTTTGCTCGTGAGTGTCTGGTCACTCAGCGGACTGGGACGAGAGGGGGACCAGGGCCTCAGCCCTCCTCCCCTCCCTCTCTCCATGCCTATAGGCTCAGCCTTCTGGTGCCTCCTGGACATGCTGCCCATCAAGAATGAGATGGGAGAGGTGGTGCTATTCCTCTTCTCCTTCAAGGACATCACTCAGCGTGGGGGCCCAGGACTGGGCTCCTCGACAGGCCATGGGGACAGTAATCATGGTAACGGCATGTCTGGGGGAGTGGTAGGCAAGAGGGCCTTAGAGGCCCTGGCCCACGGGCACAGGCTGTGCCCACTCATCTCCGCACTCTCCTTCCCAACAGAAAACTCCCTGGGCAGGAGGGGACCCAGCTTGAAATTTCGGTCGGCCAGGAGACAGAGCCGTACCGTCCTACACCGACTGACTGGTCATTTTGGGCGCCAGGGCCAGGGAGGCATGAAGACCAATAACGTGAGCCTCACCCCATCCCAACAAGTCCCGAAGGCCTCCTTCCATCACACCTCCCTTGGCTTCGTGACTGACCTTCTGCTCTTATAATGTCCCAAGGGTGGGGCTATCGAAGCAATTACTTCACCCACCCCCCGGTGATGGGCTGACAACAGAAGGGGAGCATTACAAGCCGCTATGGCCCAATGGGAGAGATCCCCCATGGAGGTGGGAAGCCTAGCACCTAGACCTGTGTATCTCTTCTTAGGACCCAGCCTAAGCCAGGGCATTTTGTTGCTAACCCTTTGAGCAGTGTGTTAGAGCTGACCATTCCAGCCCCCTCTTATCCTTGGGACACAGCCACCCTTCAGTGTGCCCTCAGGACCCAGGAGGAATTCAGGGAGGGGGCATTAGTGAGCGCCCTCCCCCAAGCTAGGGCATATGCCTGACATACCCTAAGGAGGAGCAGGTCAGGCTTGTAAATAGCCCCTTACCAAGACCATGACTGATTCAGAGGGAGATGGCATGGTAAGCACAGGGGTACATCGGGTGCCGGCCTCTGAACCCTTGTCCTCCACCTTCTGTTTCCTCTTATGGTTGCCCTTGCAGGGCCCCCTGTACCTCTTCCCCGTTCCCCGCCTCTCCCTACCCCAGCCTTGGCCCCTCTCTCCTCCATGAGTCCCCAACCACCACCCCTCTCCCTTTAGAACGTGTTCGAACCAAAGCCATCCGTGCCAGAGTACAAGGTGGCCTCTGTGGGGGGGTCCCGCTGCCTCCTCCTCCACTACAGCATCCCCAAGGCCGTCTGGGACGGCCTCATCCTCCTCGCCACCTTCTACGTTGCGGTCACTGTCCCCTACAACGTCTGCTTCTCGGGCGATGACGACACCCCCATCACTTCCCGACACACGCTCGTCAGCGACATTGCTGTAGAGGTGCTCTTCATTCTGGGTCAGTCCTGGCGGGTGCCCCGGGGGACGCGCCGTCCTTGGCCTGCAGGCTCATCCGTGTCTGAGTCTTGAAGTCTGGTCCCAGTGGTCCCTGGCTCTCACTGCCTCCTGTCTTGGAGGTTCTCTCCTCCATGGACCAGCCAGAAGCCAACCCCTTGCTCCCCATCCCTGCCTCCTCCTCCACTGTGGGGTTTTAAGGCCTGTTGCCCGCTCAGTTCACTGACAGCCTCTTGCACCCCCAGATATTATTCTGAACTTCCGCACCACCTATGTGTCCCAGTCCGGCCAAGTCGTTTCTGCTCCTCGCTCCATTGGCCTCCACTATCTGGCCACTTGGTTCTTCGTGGACCTTATCGCTGCACTGCCCTTTGACCTGCTTTACATCTTCAACATCACCGTGGTGAGTGACCCTGTCCCACCATACAACCTATCCCCCCAACGTCCGTACGGTACCCCCCATGACGCCCACCCCACCTCACGGCCCCTCCTGTGTATCAGAGCAGCACTGCCCTCCAGAGGGTTTTCAAAGGCTTGCCTTTCTTCTGAGGTGCCTCTGGGTGGACTCGAACTTCCAGAGTTTCACTGACCAGCCAGGCACCACTTAACCATTTGTACCACTCAGGGACTCCCATCTTCCATTAACCTCCGACCTTCCAGTCGAATTCTGACTCAGCGACCCCACTGGACAGAGTGGAATTGCCCCCCAGAGTGTCCGAGGCTACACATTGTTAGAGAAGCAGGCTGCCGCATCTTCCACGCCGAGTAGCAACCTTTCCGATTATTCGCTGGGCTTCTCCATCTCCCAATAGTCCGTCCCATGGGTCCGTCTGCAAGCGCCTATCTGGCACCTGCTGTGGGCCAGGCCCGCCCACTGCTGGGCGCTGCTGGGCAGGCTCGCCAGGGTCTGTGCGCAGCTCACACTCTGCAGGGGAAACCGAGACAAAAAAGGCGGTGTTGGTCTGCTGCCAAATGAGTGGTACTTTTCACATTTTTATTTAACAAACAACGGATGAGCACTTAGCTGTCTGCAAAGCACGGTGTGGGGCACGGTCACTGCGTGGCGGGGAAAGGGACCACAACAGGGCCTCCCAGCGGTTCAGCCGGAGCAGGGACAGGGATAATAGGAACAGAAAAGTGGGAGGGGGGCCGAGGGGCTGCTGGGATGGGGCTGGGGCTGGGGCTGGACAGAGCTAGCTGGCCTTGGCGTTCTAGGCTGGCACACAGGTATGAGCAAAAATGATTGGAAATCTATCCGGCATGGAGGCAGAGGGTAGGGTGGTCTGGGAAGGGTTCCAGAGAGAGGCGGGACAAGAGCTAGACTTTACGCACTGAGGAGGGCTTGGCTGGCTGGAGAGGAGAGAGCGCATCCTGGGATTGCCTAATGAGGCGAGACCGGAGAGGCTTCGGAGGCAGAGCGGACCTGGGCCTGCGTCCTCCGGGGCTCTGCCAGGAGGGCCCTCAGGGGCTCCGCTCTGCACCCAGGGCCGGGGTCGGGCTGCCCCACCCTGTGTCCCCAGGCCCCCTGAGCCGTTTCCCTGTGCGCGCTCTCTGCCACACAGCTATACCGGGAAACCACCTACACGTAGCCGGATTTAACTAGCCGCCAACAGGCTGTGGGCCTCTTCTCCTGACTGTGTACACGTGTGTGCGAGCTCCCACACACGTGCATATATGTGTGTCTGCCCTGAGGCTCCGGCCATTCCAAGCAAAGTTCCAGCTGTCTCTGGGAGCACCCCTGTCTATGCCTACCAGACTGTCCCCAGTGAACTAGGGAACTGCAGGGGAACCCCTGGCCTTCTCGCCTGGTGCCTTTAGTGCTCTTGACAGCCCCCCAAGTTCCCTCACGCACAGCATCACCTAGGAGCCTCACAGTAACCCTTTGGGAGGAGATTCTCTTGACCTGCCCAACCCCTTGCTTTTCATATATGTATATATATGTATATATGTATACACACACACACACACACACACAGATTAAGTGACTTGCTAGCAAGTAGCACCCAGATCTCCATTCTCTTTGTCTGGTATTCTTTCCCATACACCACCTTGCTTGCCAGGAATCCAGGGGTGCTTGGGGGGCTGGCCTGGCCTAAGAGGAGATGAGGGCCAATGCTGTGGGCAGAGGAAGGCGGAGCGGAGCTGGGAGATGAGCAAGCACTGGCCCAGTGGTGGGACTGAGGGAGCAGGCCTGAGACCACCAGCCTGAGGAGTGTGACAGGAGGGCCCAGGGCAGGGGCCAGCAAGAAGCCGTGCAGATCTCTTGTTTTGAACCAGGAGCCCTGGGAGCTGGGTGCAGACATCCCGCCCCAGAGAGGCTCCCTGGTGGGGGATCAGCTCCTTTCTAGCTTTCACCGCAAAGTGGAGAAATTGACTTCAGGGGATTTGGGTGCAGTGTAGGACCGAGCCTCCTGGAGGCCCCAGGGAGGTCAGTGAAAGGCCTTCACACCAAGCTCCACAGGCACTCCACCACCCAGCCCCCAGCCCAGACGCCTCTGTGAGAAGATACGCCCATCTGTCACCCCCAACATGGAGGTGCTCGCTGAGCGATTAATATCATGGTAAGAATGGTAGTAGTCATGAGACTACCAGTCAGTATTAACAAGATCCTTGTTAGGGGCTGTTAGGAACCTTGGTGGCATAGTCATTATGAGTTAGGCTGCAAACTGCGAGGTCAGCAGTTCAAAACCACCAGCTAGCTCATGGGAGAAAAAAAACGAGGCTTTCTTCTCCTATCAAGAATTACTGTCTCAGAAACTCATAGCGGCAGCTGTACCCTATTCTATAGTGTCAATATGGGTCAGAATTGACTCGTTGGCAGTGGGCTTAGTTTGGTTTGGTTTTGCTAGAGGCTGTTAGCTCCATCAACACCACCCCCACCCCCACCCCTAGCTGCCGCCCCAGCTCTACAAGGACAGAGAACTCCCACCCACTCCCATCCCAGGCCTCCTCAGCCCTCACTCTCGCTCTCCTCTGTATGTTTGGGCCTGACTCTCACCTGCAGCTGGTCCACAGGGGGCAGTGCCACCCCCCCCTTAGAGTCCCTGCCCCTCCAGCTTCACAGGCTTGTTCCAATTCTTCCATGTTTCAGAGAGGGGCCTGGGCACTGCCACCATCTTCACCACCAACTCTTGTTCACAGCTGTTTGTGTCCAAGCTATGGGGTGCTTCCAGCAGGGCTCTCTTCAGAGATTGGTCTCTGTCCCCCTGCCTCTGGTCTGACCTGAGGCCACGGGCACTCCAGCACAGAACAGGCTAGGTTGTTGGTCAAACCTAGTGCCCCTGGCCCATCATTTTCTTGGTGCGTGACCTTGGACAAGTCATGAACCTTTCTGAGGCTTAATTCATTCATTTGCAGACAAGTCCCTGGCCATCCTGTAAATTCAGATCCACACACACACACACACACACACACACACACACACGCACAATCCTATAGGACAGCGGTTCTCAACCTTCCTCATGCCACCACCCTTTCATACAGTTCCTCATGTTGTGGTGACCCCCCCCAACCATAACATTATTTTCGTTGTTACTTCATAACTATAATTGTGCTACTCTGATGAATCGGGGGACCCTGATTTACGGGAGTAGAAAGTTCCGTCTTTCTGCCTCAGAGAAGCTGGTGGTTTTGAACCACTGACCTTGGGTTGGCAGCCCAAAATGTAACCACTGTGCCACCAGGGCTTCTCCTTCTCAGGACAGCAGGGCCTTTCTCCTGCTGCAGCCTCCCCTGGCTGCAGGGTCTCCGATGGGGCAAGTGTGGGGGGGGTGACAACGCAGACTGTGAGGGAGTGTGCCCGCTGACTGCCCCCCTCCCTGCTCCCCGGCAGACCTCGCTGGTGCACCTGCTGAAGACGGTGCGGCTGCTGCGGCTGCTGCGGCTGCTGCAGAAGCTGGAGCGCTACTCCCAGTGCAGCGCGGTGGTGCTCACGCTGCTCATGTCCGTGTTTGCACTCCTTGCCCACTGGATGGCTTGCGTCTGGTACGTGATCGGGCGCCGAGAGATGGAGGCCAACGACCCGCTGCTCTGGGACATTGGTGAGACACCAGCCCCAGGCCGCCTGCCCTGTTCACTACATGCCCAAGCTGAGGCCTCCACTCGTGTCCGCCCCCACCCCCACCCCCCTTCCTCCAATGCCCCACAAACCTGCGCTCAGCTCCGTGGGGATCGGCACTGCCAGTGCTGATCTGCAGCCAAGGCCTCCGCCTTCCAAGACAAGCCACCGCCCAGCCGAGCAGGGAAGCCAGCAATGGCTGTCAGAACACCACACCGAGGGGGGTGGCCCTTGGGGAGCAGCACAAACGAAAGCCCTGAAGGAGGGGTGTCCTGTCCCTCTCCTTTATCAATCCCATTTGCCTGTACCTCCCACTGGCCAGGCCCTCAATGTCCTCCTGGAAGGCCCGTCAGATCCTGAGCAGTGTCCCTGACATGTCCTTCTCTGCTTCCCCTCTGTGCACCCCTCTTCCATCATGTGCACCCCTCTCCTCCCCAGCCCCCACTGCACCCCCCCCTAATCCTCACACCGAAGCTTCTGCAGTAGCCTCCCCCCTCTCTCCCTGACCACTTCTCATCACCTACCTCCATATCCCAGCCAAATGGGTCTTCTGAGAATCAGTGCTGGCCTGCTCGGACCTTGAACTCCACCCCTGATATAGCGCTGCACCACCACCCCACCCCCACCCCCGAGTCCCGCCTGGTGCCCTTTCTCCCATGCCCCCTGGGCTGCAGCCCCCGAACCTCCCTCCTAGGTCCAAATGTACTGTTTTCTCCTGCTGACCTTTGAACGAGGACTTTTCTTCCTGGCCTCTCCCTTCCCACCACCCTTTGTCTCCTCTCCTGCTCCTTGTAGTCTCAGCCCAGAGTCCCCGTCCTAAAGAGACCCTCCTTGAGCCCTGGTGGCACAGTGGTTAAGCACTCAGCTGCTCACCGCAAGGTTGGTAGTTCCAGCCCATGGGGCTGTTCTGTGGGCACAGGGTCTGGCCCTCTGCATCTGTAAAGGTTCTGGCAGCTCTTCTCTGCCTGTGAGTCATGCTCTTTTCGCTGTGAGTCACTAGACAATGGGTACTAACATCTGTCCTAGAACCGCAGGACTGGCCCGGCTCCAGCTGGGTTCCAAAACCCCAAACTCACTGCCACTGTGTCGATGCCAACTCACAATGACCCTATAGGACATGGTAAAACTGCCTCTGTGAGTTTCTGAGACTGTTGGTTTTTATGGGCAGAGAAGACCCTGCTTTTCTCCAAAGGCGAGGCTGCTGGTTTTGAACCCATAACCTTGTGGTTAGCAGCCCAACTTGTAACCCACTACCCCTCCAGGGCTCATCTGGCTGGGTTTGGACTCCCTAACCTATCATGGTTCCTCAGAAAGTTGATAAACCAGTCCAATCGACCTCGTTGTGTCAGGGGAGACCTGGACTTCACAGGAGAGGGGGGAGGTGGCTCCCAGTGGCTGATTTGATAGAGCCCCAGGCCTTTCTTCCAAGTCACCTTTGGGTGAACTCCAGTCTTTCTGTTGGAGGCTCCAGGGCACCTTCCTGAAGGCCATCTCCCATCCCTAATGATCATTCCCCTCTTTCCCCTACACACTGTGAGCTCCACAGTGCTGGGCACATGGCTGGCTGGGTCAAAGAAATGCGCAGTAAAACAATCTCAACTCAAAGGACTCGCTGACCAATCAGTAATCCCAGATAGCAACTGTCACTGTGCCGTCCACTGGCAGGCCCAGCCCCAGGCTGCAGGCCAACCCTGCTGATGCACACCAGCCTCCGGAAATACTTGCTCAAGGTCAAGGACTGGCCCTTCAGGGAAACCTGGTTCTCTTCCACCCTCTGCCCAACCCCCAGGGTGGCTGCACGAGCTGGGCAAGCGGCTGGAGGTGCCCTACGTCAACGGCTCGGCCGGCGGCCCTTCCCGGCGCAGCGCCTACATCGCCGCGCTCTACTTCACGCTGAGCAGTCTCACCAGCGTGGGCTTCGGCAACGTCTGCGCCAACACGGACGCCGAAAAGATCTTCTCCATCTGCACCATGCTCATAGGCGGTGAGGCTGGGCCGCTGCGCCCCGCGCGCACCCGGCCACGGGGCCCAGGGAGGGCGAAGGGGCCACCAGGGCCAGAGCTCACGCAGGCATCCATGCAGGGCATGACCGCTGCCACTTCCCCACCCAAGGGGGCTGGCCACCAAAGACGCACCTCCGGTCTGGTGCTTCTGTAGGCCACACCCCAGCCCAGCCAGGTGGGCTTGGGAGCAGGGGTGGCGGCCAGGGCACCGCAGCCCCTGACCCGCATCTGCCCTTCCCGCAGCGCTGATGCACGCCGTGGTGTTCGGGAACGTGACGGCCATCATCCAGCGCATGTACTCGCGCCGCTCGCTCTACCACAGCCGCATGAAGGATCTCAAGGATTTCATCCGCGTGCACCACCTGCCCAGGCCGCTCAAACAGCGCATGCTCGAGTACTTCCAGACCACGTGGGCCGTCAACAGTGGCATCGACGCCAACGAGGTAGTGGCCAGCCCCCCGCCCCCGGCTCATGCCATCCTAACTCCAGCCCCGTGGCTCTGTGCAATCCGGGGGCACGGGCGTCGCTTGCTGGGATCTCGGATGATACACTCAGCCCTTGCCCTCAGGGAGCCCCCTGTCTGGCGAGGGAGGCAGACAAGTAAACATCATTGAGGAGTGAGAAGGGCAGTAATGGAGGGGTGTCGGTGCAGTGGGGGCCCAGAGGCGCCAGATGAAGGGACATTGGGAAGGTCGTAGAAATCAGTCCACCAAGGGAAGGTCGTGCCAGGCAGAAGGAACAAGGATCCAGGTCTTGACGTGTTGGCGCAGAAGAGGAAGGCAGGCTCGGGGAAAGGAAGTAGCAGGGAGCTTTCCGGAACAGGGATGGGAGGGTATAGGCAGGGCCCTCTTGTGGGTGACCTTGAGCTTAAACTTTGTTCTGCAAGGATTTGGGGCCTGAGAGTGGCATGGGCTAGGAGGGCCGAGGGGCTAGGAGCTTGGGCTAGTGAGAGGAGTGTAGGCTTCCCAAGAGGAGCCCAGGGAATGGAGTAGTCAGAGAACTCAGAGAAGGAGGGGCCGAGGGTCTATGAACCTGGGCTAGTGAGGAGTTTCTAGTCTCTGCCCTTGATGATTGGGTTAGGAGGGCCATCCCATAGCCAGGCGTTCGCTGGGCCTACACATTGTCCTGAAAGTTAATGGGTGACTTCCAAGCAAAGAGTCAGTGAGTTCTCGCTCTTTGAAGACAGCTCCACACATTTGGAGAGGCAAGTAGCAGCGGCAGGGGGATGGCCAGAATGACCTATGCCCCTTATGCAGTTACTGCGTGACTTCCCAGACGAGCTGAGAGCTGACATTGCTATGCACCTGAATCGGGAGATCCTGCAGTTACCACTGTTTGGAGCAGCAAGCAGGGGCTGCCTGCGGGCCCTCTCTCTGCACATCAAGACCTCGTTCTGCGCACCGGGCGAATACTTGTTACGCCGTGGAGATGCCCTGCAGGCACACTACTACGTCTGCTCTGGCTCCCTGGAGGTGCTCCGAGACAATACGGTGCTGGCCATCCTGGGTGAGGGTCCCCCCCACTCCCCATGTCAGAACCTTCCCCCGAGGCCTTGGGAATGGTCAGCAGACTAGGGAATGGGAAATTCCTAGCAGAGACCTGGAGTTCTAGCTAAGAGGACTCTTTCTCAGTCCCTCCACTCTCCTACTGTCCCCTGTTTGACCACTCCCTGTGACTTGCCCCCCAATCCCATTGACCTCCCCCCTCTCAAGGCCCTGTCAGCCCCTTTCCAGTGACTGTCTCCCAACACGCCGCGGACCGTTGTCCTTTAATGAACCCCTTTCATCATTCTTTATGGGTCATCTCGTTTCATTGATCATTCCTCCAGCCCCACCGATGTCCTCATTGACAGTATCCCAACCCTGTCATCCGTCATTAGCCACTGATGATTTCCACCGGTCCCATCCATTGGCCCATCTCAACCATCCTTCCAGCACATTGACAATGATCCCTTTTGACCACCTCCTACTGATACCCTCGTGGTCCCTCTGCCCCAGCTGACTGTCCCCATCCCTTGCCCACAGGGAAGGGGGACCTGATTGGGGCAGATATCCCTGAGGCGGGGTCAGGGGCAGGCCCAAGCTGCGTGCTGAAGACCAGCGCTGATGTGAAGGCGCTGACCTACTGTGGCCTGCAGCAGCTGAGCAGCCGAGGGCTGGCCGAGGTCCTGAGACTCTACCCTGAGTATGGCGCTGCCTTCCGGGCTGGCCTGCCCCGGGACCTCACCTTCAACCTGCGCCAGGGCTCTGACACTAATGTAGGTAGACCTCCTGTAGCCTCCACCCCTTCGAGGGCCCCCTTCTTCAAAGCAACCCTGCCTCCCCGACCCACAAAGAACATCTCCTGTCTCCTTCCACCTTGAAAGTGTCATCTCTCAGTCTTAGGCACCCTCTTGCTTGGCCCCCTGGCATGCTTGAAATCATCCGGCAGGAGGGCACGATTCCGCTGGCCATCACCCAACCCCACACACCATCGCTCACCACTTCTGCTCCCTATTCTACTGACCCATCTCCTGCTGCCCATTGCTAGCCCCACTCCGGATTCTTCCAAAGGCCCCACTTTGGCGCCAAGTCCCCTCCCCTCCCTCGGC